ATGTAAATGAGATTTTAGGCTTGACACGTAAGTTTGAACTAGGGCTGAGAGACACGATAATATACCACATATTTCAAATCGAATTAAACTAATCAATAATTATATAACCTTATATGTTTAACGAGATCAATGTTGTAAAATACGAATAGACAAAGTAGCTGAAATGAAACGTATATTATAACTAGTAAGAAATCAATGTCTCGAGTAAGAATCTCTTGTCAGGACAATGTCAATACAAACAAAAATACGTTGTGTCCAATATTTATGTTTAATAATAGAAAAAGCATGCCAAGGTTGTTAAGGACTCTTTTTAGCACAACCTTTACTTTTCCATTTCTTTTTTTTCCCGCTTTCTAATACCGGCTTACGATAAAGATGAACTTCTGTTGCAGGAGAGTTGTCTTTATCCCGCACTATTTCCGGCTTACGATAAAAATGGTATTCCTCTGCAGGAATGTTGTCTTTATCCTGCACTATTTCCGGCTTACGATAAAGATGAGCTTCTGTTGCAGGAGAGTTGTCTTTATCCCGCACTATTTCCGGCTTACGATAAAAATGGTATTCCTCTGCAGGAATGTTGTCTTTATCCTGCACTATTTCCGGCTTACGATAAAGATGAGCTTCTGTTGCAGGAGAGTTGTCTTTATCCCGCACTATTTCCGGCTTACGATAAAAATGGTATTCCTCTGCAGGAATGTTGTCTTTATCCTGCACTATTTCCGGCTTACGATAAAGATGAGCTTCTGTTGCAGGAGAGTTGTCTTTATCCCGCACTATTTCCGGCTTACGATAAAAATGGTATTCCTCTGCAGGAATGTTGTCTTTATCCTGCACTATTTCCGGCTTACGATAAAGATGAGCTTCTGTTGCAGGAGAGTTGTCTTTATCCCGCACTATTTCCGGCTTACGATAAAAATGGTATTCCTCTGCAGGAATGTTGTCTTTATCCTGCACTATTTCCGGCTTACGATAAAGATGAGCTTCTGTTGCAGGAGAGTTGTCTTTATCCCGCACTATTTCCGGCTTACGATAAAAATGGTATTCCTCTGCAGGAATGTTGTCTTTATCCTGCACTATTTCCGGCTTACGATAAAGATGAGCTTCTGTTGCAGGAGAGTTGTCTTTATCCCGCACTATTTCCGGCTTACGATAAAAATGGTATTCCTCTGCAGGAATGTTGTCTTTATCCTGCACTATTTCCGGCTTACGATAAAGATGAGCTTCTGTTGCAGGAGAGTTGTCTTTATCCCGCACTATTTCCGGCTTACGATAAAAATGGTATTCCTCTGCAGGAATGTTGTCTTTATCCTGCACTATTTCCGGCTTACGATAAAGATGAGCTTCTGTTGCAGGAGAGTTGTCTTTATCCCGCACTATTTCCGGCTTACGATAAAAATGGTATTCCTCTGCAGGAATGTTGTCTTTATCCTGCACTATTTCCGGCTTACGATAAAGATGAGCTTCTGTTGCAGGAGAGTTGTCTTTATCCCGCACTATTTCCGGCTTACGATAAAAATGGTATTCCTCTGCAGGAGGGTTGACTGCTTCTCCGACTTCGGGAACATTATCGGGGATACTGATGTTATAACGTTTCTTTGATAGTTTCCACTTTAGATCACGTGAAGAAATTCCACTGAATTTATTATAAATGGGAACTATTTCTTCAGCCGTGAGTAGTCCGGATGTTGCAACATTTTGAGCAAACTCTTTTTGAGTCATAGCGAGAAATCTCAAGTCATAAATAGCATCACCAATTACAGACCTTCTGCTCTCTCTTGTTGCCTCAATATCTTTCTTCGAACACTGAAAGTCGCTCCACTTTAACACAGCTCGAAATAATTCGACTTCAACGATATTCAGGTCGTTACGTCTCAGTAAATTCGCCAGCGTCTTTTGGCTGATGTTATTGAAATCTGTTGACGCAACTACTCGCTTCGTGTTTGATTTTATAAATTTCCAACAACTCATCTCTAATTTTCTCTCGTCAAAGTGCGTTGCTTGTTCCAAAATGCTCAT